TGCCTCCAGACAATTTTTCCCTCGCCGAACCATTTCCTACTTACGCGTCGAGCTGCGTTCGTCTGACATGGGATCGATCAAAGATTTCGAAACTTGATACGCGAAAACGTGTGAGATGAGATCGCGCTGGCTTTTTAGACGGTTCTAAGCACATCTTCTAAAATCCGTTTTTATGTCGTTAATTATAGATCACGGTGATGTAAAGGCGCTTACCTAATTATCGAGATGTCAAATCTTAACGAAGGCATAAAATAACAAAAATTGTAAAATGGTGCATTAGATTTTTACGAAGAAATACTTTAAGCACGACATTTGATTACTTTATGTGATGACAAACAGTTAAATGGAAATAAGTTGAAATTTTATTTTAAGAAGAATTATATTAGATCATTACATTATTAAATCATTTCGTACAGATAAAAACACTCAGAAATCATTAAAAATAATACATTTACTTTTTGTCTTTATAAGCCATTAAAAGCAGCATCAAGCTGAATTTTTCGAAATGTGATAATATTATAGAATTTGATACCGCATTTTTTTGCCTACTGCTTTCTGGAACTATCGTCGAACAAACGCCATGCTTCTATTTTTTAACAGCATTCACCGCCGCAGGCATTCTGAGAAACATGTCATTACGGAGGCATAAAAGGAATCATCGATAAGAAAGGTGTTGAAAGCAAGATCGAGATACGCGACTGTCTTGAAACGTATGGTATCAGAGGTGCTAAGCTGCTAAGAGCGAGATTTTATGCACAACATATAAACACCAGATACAAAACGGTAGACGTTCGCAACTCGAGGTTTTCTTTATCGTACCGGTGCAAATTATCGACCAGCTGAGAGTTTATGATTCTCGCGCTATGCGATTCTACACGATAGAGATAATCTTCAGTGGTGAAATAACGCTGGATGTAACACCGTGAGCGAAAAAAAATACAACAGTACTATACATAGCCAGTAATATTTTATAATATAGTAATGTCAGAAAAAATTCTCGTTGATCTTTGCAAAAGTGTGGTTTTAGCGTAACCAAATGTGAGTTATATACATTAGAATATGTATTAAAAACAAATTGAAAAAGATATTAATATCTTGACATACATTCTTACATCATTTTTAAGACAATTAGAAATAATATTCTATTATTAGATTCAGTATATTCTATATTTATATCTTTTTTATTTCTATCTGTCCGATCGACGCTTTAGAGGCCTTCCTAGATTTTGATTTGCGTTCCGGTCCAAGCTAAGATTCTCACGCAGCGCGTCGTCTAATTTAAACAGAAAAACTCCTAGCCGCAGGCGGCTTTTTGCACGGGCCACGAAGCGTGGAATTAACCGGTGCTTCCCCCTTTTCTAAAACCAACACGTAATTATCTCACTGGCGGTTGCGTTCGGCAATTCTTTTTGCTTTGGCCCTTTTTCCGCCGACAGGTTCGGCAAGCGACGATACCCGATATTTACATGGCAGGTGATATCAATTATCGCCCGTGAGCCGCCAATGCCCCGGAGCCGAGATTGCAGCCGAATCCGAGTCTTGAATAGTCTCGCCGTGCCAATTTGCTCGATTTGCGCTTTCGTCATTTTTTTCTTTCTCGTATTTTTCTAGTATCCGTAGTTTGTGTTATGTATCATAACTGACGGTTTGATCGACCTACGATTCACGAACTCCCAAGTTACCTGGCGGAGCCAATGATTAGCAAATCTTGCATGATTTTCGAGAATTTCGGATTACAAACATAATTCTCGACAGGTAGTAGTCTGCAAATGTGTCTCCAAAATTAAGGAAATTATAGAACAAACAATATGTTGAAAAGTCTTTATCTCTCACAAAATGTGTGTGCTTATGTATACATATTTTTGCTCCTTTGAAAAATGTATAAAAATTGCTTTAATAGAAATATGTTAATCAAAACGCTTTTGAAATGCAAAAGTGTCGTCGCATTTATAAGTGAGAGACATCGTGACTGCTACGCATGTACGTCCATGAGGACAGACAGGCGAGCAATTTTTCTTGTTTCTTTGAAGATTGGGCGTAACGTTCTGTTGCAGCTGAAGCAAACGGTGACTCGATAAGTACCGTGATGGTCCCCCGGGGCAAAAACAAATAATAACTCGGCCACGAGAGACCCTCGGTTAGCTACAACGTCTGGTTGCGGGGCCCATCTCTCGCCTTATTTCCAGGCGACTATCGCAATTTTGAAAATGGTTGTCTCATCATGAAGGGAGAGAGAGCCTGGTCTGAGACGTTGTCGATTACAGGGCGCGCCGCTGCTCATCGTATTTCGGTGTTGGTTTTCGAGCCTTTTGTGTTAAAAAGACGCGCGTAATCATCTCCCCTTCCCCCCTTTGGGCCGATGCTTTTGCGAACGTGTAGAATCGGGAAGGTGGAGGGGGGGGGGGCTACTTCAACAAGGTAGGGGAGAACGCCTATAGTCTGTCCCCCTTTCGCTCGCCCCGTGCCGCTTCCGATCGCCCCCGAGGCTCACAACGAGCCGACTGGCCGACTTTTTGCCGCGTCGCGAGCTTAGCATAGGAAATCATCGAGCGTATACTTCGACAACAGGTGTCGGGGTGGCAGGCTTTCGAATGAGTGCGCGAAATTGCAGACTTGCACGGTCTCGCGCGCCACCGCCGACCGGTCGCGTGAGTGACTTTGCATGCGCCTTGATTACGCGCTCGTGAACGACCGCGTTCGCCGCCGCCCTCGTTGCGCGGTTTATGCAACAGAGGTGCAATTCATCCACGACGGTGTGACAGCTTCATTTAAAGGCCCGCGATGCGACACGAATAATGTAAAACATTAATCCCGAAGAAAACAATCGATCAGCGAGTAAGAGGCAATACAGAGATATGATAAATCTGCAAATGCCATTGATGACAAATTTTTGAGCGATTTTTCAATGTTTACTAGTTGATGGTATTTTATTAGTATAATACTTTTTACAACACGCTCTACATGCTACTCTACACGCTACGAAAGCAAAAAAAAATAATAATAATTTAATGAACCTTTGGACAAGATGAAATTTTTCGGCCCCATAAAGACTTCTTCTAAACGTGTGGTTTATTTTATGATTTATTGGATTTGTCATTGCGTGACTACGCAACGCAGAAAGAGGACCGTTGTTAACACGGTGCGCCGACAAAAGAATGCACGCACACGTGTGCACCTGTGCACCATCAGGCGGAAATTGCGGACGCTTCTTCGGACCTCAAGTATGTTTTTAAAAGATGCGATCCGTTTTTGCGCACCAAATCGGTTTGTCCGCAGAAACGTCTTCCGCCGCGCATTCAGGCGTATGTGTACGCATCCACAGACATGGGCCAAAAACAAGCTCGTTCTGACTGCAACAGAACGTAGGAGTGAGAGAAATAAAGAAAAAGAAAGAGAGAGAGCCAGGAAGATTCGATGAGACAAAAAGATTGAGCGCTCGGCTACAAATTCGTTTCTCAGCAAAGTGGCAGCTGTGCCATAGTTATGGTTATGTCAACGTCCGAATCACAATGATAAAGATGGTACCGGCGACATATATATGTATTGATTGATTCACATTTATCAATTTTTTGGTCTCTCCCTCTCCTCATCTTTTAAAATGTACTTTTTACAACTTGGGACTACGTCATTTTCTACGTTTCAAGTATAAGCTAGCCTCTTCGTGTGAAAAAATATACAATAACTTCATATATTTAATATTTTGGATGTATTTGAATCTTCAGTATTCATATTTGCACATAAAGCATAAATTACTATCATTACAATCGGGAGCACAACTGACGTATCTTAAAATCCTATAATTAAATGTAAAACGCGTGATTATAGCGCACATTTATTTACCGATTAATTTATCGATCGATGAGATATAATTATCTGTTCGCTTTATACGAAAGTCTAACGATCGCTCGTAAATATAATTTTTGTCGAGCGTGTTTTCTTCATTAATATGCCGCGATAAAGCTTCGAGAAACGGCGTCATAAAAGTGACAAAATAAATACACGACAAATCGCACGACTTACGATTATATCGTGACGAGAAACGAGGCAGAAAATCGACGATCGTTCTCGGTCCTGTTTCATTTCGCATTTTCGCGCCTACTTAATAACGTCGAAAGGAGAAGTGGATGGAAGTGGACGGACGATCGGGTAGCCATTAAGGCGAATCGAGGGGCTAATCGCTGTCGTTGATGGAACTGCTCGTCAAAATCGGCCGGTGAGTGGCTCGGCTGAGACGTCAACAAGTGAAACACTTTTTAAGCCGAAGAGCATTGTGCCGAGAGTGCACTTAAGGACGGATGCAGTTTGCTACTACGTACGCGGATGCTGACATAAGACAAATAATGGTGGAATGGATTTCTGATGGAAATGGATTCATTAAAATAAAATAATGTATAGAATTATGCGGATTCTACGTTAACCCAGCAGATGAATGCCACGAAAGTTGCGAGATATAGTCTTCACCCTACGAGCTAATTACGAGCTTCAAGATTACCTGCTTCCTAGTAACGAAGGTCTGCCTTTTAAGGACAAAGATCGTGTAATCTAGAAGAATCGCTCTCGTAGATTGACGGATGATTGATGAGGGCTCGCGGTGCCAAAGCACCGCCTACACGATTTTTATAATTAAAGACCGGGATGCTAATTGTTATTTTGCTGGCGCTGTTCTACTAGCTTGTAAAAGGGAATTTACATCAACCTTTGCGGGATGAAGAAAATGAAGTATTGAATTAAATTAATTTTATATTTTAATTAAAAGCTCTAATTGATTCCCTAAAGTGACTTTATGTCGGAATTAAGAATAACAGTTTAAAAGATTAAGATATTATATTGCTTCTATAATTTTTTGTTAATACATGAACATAAAAATGTACATCAATTTTTGTAATAACTTATATGAGATCAAACTTGCACGTTGCAGCAATTAAAGTTTTAAAAAGCTTTTGAAAAATTACATTGCAAAAATTTGCGAATTTATTCTCGTGGCGATGCTTCGGTTTATATTTGTTTGAGATCGCATAAAGAATATAAACGACAAGTTAACAATTTTCATCGCAATAATGCTGTTTTTCGTACATTGAATTTAAGATATGCAAGATATTCATTCGGTCAAAAAAAAGAAAAGGTGAAAACAGGAATGCATAGCCTACGGTCGATGCGCGCCAAACCAGATTATCGAAAACCACTTATTAATGAAAGTATTTACTTAATGACATATTTACGCAAATTTATATTACATATTTATAAAATTTAAATGTGATAAATAATTCATAAAAATCTATATTCATAAGGCAGTATGGTTTTTTAGAACACACTTGAAAGTTAATATTATACATATAATAAGTACAGGAAATAAAATAATATTTTTTAAAGACTAATGAATATAACGACACCACGTAATTGGCGTAACTATAAAAATTTTTAATCACTTTGTAATATTTTAGCAATTTTATTGCACTTTTGGCGATTGCATTTTTTTCTTGGTTTGAATAGGTTTTGGTATAGTGCTTTGCACATGGGCGTATTTCGGATTTTTCGTACGTTTAGGGATCGAATCTGATGACACTTTGTTACATAGTGATAGATTTAAATTCGACATCGAATGACCCAGTTTTTTAGATTCGCTTAGTTTTCCAGAAATTGCAATACCAGTACTGTTGCGTCTGTCGCAAGTATTCTCTCTGTCTATTGACGATGATCGAGAGGATGTTGGTGTTCCAGAGAAAACAGTAATGGATCTGCGAATTGTCGTAGACAAATTTGTTTTGTTCATAGCTGGTGTGTGATTGAGACCAAAAGAACCATTGCTCAAAGATGCACCTAATCGCCGCGTTTGTTTGCCATTGAAATTATCTTGTTTTGCCACTTGTGGATATACTTGCTGTAAGATGTGTACGTATAAATTATATATATATTTATTACATTTTATTATTTGAAAACAAATTATACCTTTTTTATACGTTCCACCTTTGTCACGACGTTCATGATAGACTTCTGTACTTCGTTTAGTGATAGCAACAAATTATTATGAACTGAATAATTTGTTTCATTATTATTGAAATTATCTTGGAAAACATCGTTATCATCATTAGTATTTGCTTTTTGCTTTTTCTCGCGGACAAAAGTGTCAGATCTGCTAACGCAGATTAAGGGATTTGATTGTGAAAGAGACTACGGATAAATAATAAGATAAAAGCATATTAAATACTTTAAATAATCAAAATTAATTTAAAGTACGATTATGAGAGTCTAATCATTAAATAATAATTAAAAAATAGAAATCCATAACCGTTTGTAGAAATAATGTAATAATGCAATTGCGTGTTACCTTTTTTTCGTCTTGCAATTCATTGAGTGAACTTTCCGCTTCTTTTTCATTAGCTGTTAATGATATATCAGAAGCAGAAAACCCAAAATCCGTAATAGCCAAACTATTTTCAGATCTAAACATGACATTGTTGTTACGGAGTGATAAGAAATAATAAGTAATCTCTTAATAATATTTAAAAAACAAACCTGAAGTCATCATAATCATTTTGTTTACGGTTGTTCTTTAATACAATTGGAGCTGTTGGAGTGATAATATCAATTGCGTTAACTGGCGTTTTTACCAAAGAATTAACGTTGTCATTGCAGTTCTGTATCCCGAGTGCGCTGAATACTTGATATATGGTATTCGTCATTTGGTCGTAATTTAAGGGCACGATAGCATCTCTTGAGCGTTCACTCTGGAACGCAATATAATAATCATTTATTTATTAGATATTTTATTACATGTACGATACTTATATCACACATAACACATTTGCACTTGTACATTTGATCTAGCGAATACTTTACATTTGGCGAAGGAGTCTTCGTGTAACGCACAACTAAACGCGTAAATTCTTCCGCAAAATTTAACACACTCATTTCGAACTTTCTTTGACACGACAGACCTGAGTGATGTACACAGATGAGTCAATTTCGAACGACTGATCGACTAAATGATTTCCTAACGACCTTATTTATTGTTTACGATATAACGTCGGTCAGTACTGTATCTGCAAATTTCGTCGCCTTTCTCCATGTTTTCGAAAAGTAAAGTTGAACATATTTAAAGGAAAAATAAACTATCTAATAAGTAGATATATTTACTTATTTATATTTGTATAAAAATTTTTATTAACAAAATCTGTTTAATCGATATGAAATCGATGTGTACCGAATATACACGAGATTTTGACTCCAGCAATAATTATTCTGTGCAAAACTATATTTGCAAAAATCATCGTTTTTTTCATAACTAAGTTAGTCTGCTCCCATGAGCTATCTCCAAAGTAGTTTCTGAAGTACGATCTGGCCACTCCTCCGCTCTGCCAATTATTCCCTGCCACACGTCGGGCACTGATGGAGGAGCTCGCGAGAGAAGAGGCGTAGAGACATGATAAATCTCCCTCGGGGGAAAAACTAGCCGCCCAAAAATATATGCACGCCGGAGATGGATGGGTGGAGTACAAGGGCGGTGCCTGGTACGCAGAGAGAGTTTTGTCTCAGTTTGTTTCTCGGGAGTCCTCCTCCTTCCCACCCTCCTCCCCCCCCCCCCCCCGTCGCTCTCTTGCACGATGTAGTGCGCCGTGCGCGCTTTTTTGTGAATTTTTTGGCGATTGAACGATTAGAGGAAGGCGGCGCTCGTCAGTCAACTCAGTAGATGAATCTTCGGCGTATGCAGATACGTGCGTCGCCACTCGGGATCGCTTTAAAAATAAAATTTACGCGCGATAATTCGACGTGTTCGACACTGTGCCAGCTGCTCGCTCAACGCTGCGAGGCGCGTGCGGCGTCTTCCAGCTGGTAGACGCCGAGCTCGTAATTGAGAAAAATTATCGCGATTGTTGAAAGAATTATTGGAAGCATTTTCAAAAAATTAAATTTCTTTACTAGAAAAATTTGCAAAATGACAACCGGACACAGTGTGAATTTTAATAATTAAGAGGGAATAAAATATATTTAATGTAGAAATAATTAACGTAAGAAAAAATATATGCAATAATCAGTTTGCTATTAAATAAGCAACAAGCATACTTTTTTTTACAAAGTATAATATAAATACACTTTTCTGCTAGAGTTAGAACTGCAGCTTGCAGGAATGATGTTTGAACACGTCCGCGCTGCGGTCTTAGCAAAATATCCTTTCTCCGTATTTCGTCGTTGCCCCCGGTACACTAATTTTGGCGTGTCCTTACAAATGAAAGGCTTTGCCGCGTCTGCATCGTTCTGTAGCACCTTTTCAAATATTTATTATTTCCCACGCTGCATGTCCTTAAACGCCCGACAGAATACGACACCTCGAAGGCACAGCAACTTCTTCTGCATCATTGCAGACCGCTAATGCACATCCATACAGAGTCATATCTCGTACGAGATGCGCCGGCAGACGTTTGAAGTCCGAACATGTTTGAACAGCGGTCATTGTCTTGCGTTCAATTTCTTCGTTTTCTACTCTCCGCTACTGCCGCTGTAGAGGCATTTCGTTTCAGATAAGGAGCGAGTTAAGTGTCTCGCAAAAAGCTTTTTTTTATGACTTTGATGAATGAATACATTATGTTCAACCGTTAACATTGTATTTTTCATATTGCAGATGCAATTTCACTTTAAAGATTACTTGACAAATTTTTATATTACTATTTATTAAATGTAACATGAAATACTTATACGTAATTGTGAATAAGTGCTAAAAATAATTGCTTAGGTGCACCACCGTGAAATCGCCTAACTCGACCAGACACAAAGGATGTCTTATTTAGTGACCTAATATTTGACTTTTGCCACATTGGACCACGAGTTCTTCACGGTTCAACTGCCGCTGTTTGTTTGCAGTCTGCCTTCAGTTTCGGCTTTCGCCAGGTTGATTTAGGATTTAAGGATTTCCACGTTTGTTATTCGAAGATCACGTGGACAAATATACTTGAGATGATTCCTCTATTTAGGCAAAGCGGGTGGGCTTACTTCGATCGCTTCGGCTACTTGCAAATTCGGGTAGATACGTTCATTGAATGGAGTAAATAGAAAATATAAATTGTTATAAATGCATACGTTGACAAGTTTGCAAACTCGAATACTACTCGTCCACGCGCACACAGCAAAGAAAAATCTTCGAATTCTCTCAGAAATAAAAATGCTTTTAATTTTTTGTTAATAAGAAAACTAATTTGATACTGAATTCAATATGCAAACAAAATATCTGATCCTTCTAACGGAAAATTTTGAGTTGCGAGATTCAGTCGTGAAAAAAGAAGGAAGAATCGGAAGTTTATCGAAAGAACCGGTGGTATTCTCTGTTTGGATAGTCTTTAACTGACCATTACACCTGAATGGGGCGCCTCAAAATGGAAAAGGGCAGCATGGTCCTTGATCCGACCGGCCTACTTCCTGTGAAACTCGATTGGGTAGATCCTAGGGACCAACGGTCAATAGTAATAATGATGAATGTTTCTCGCCATAATCCCCGACGAACCGTGCGCCGTTACTACGTTTCCGACCAGTCTTACCTGATCTTCTTTTAAGCGTATTCGTCGCGTGACTCTCCGAGAACACTCGAAGAATCAACAAGCAGTGCAAGAGATCACGATCAAGTCTCGGATCACGTACAAGAAATCGCAATGTAGATCTTCACTGATCGCAAGATACGCGATTGACTTTTTAATCTTCCAAGAACAACTTGAGCTTGCCGTTATAAAAGAAATTCGCGTCACAAAATTAGCTACATCATGTAATAACATTATATATATAACTGACACATTCGACCACATTTATCTATTATTTTTACATGACATTAGTGTCTTTTTATTGAAAACTGCACAATGTGAATGTGAATGATACGAAAAAAGGATGCAAAATGGGATACTTAAGCGCTTTTTGTGCACACAAATGGTTACGTTTGCGAGCGAGAACTGCAATTTCGAAGCGATGATGAGTATCCGTTATGGTGCGTAGATTGTCGCTATTATCGTTTACGATCGAAGACTGTATCGAGAGCAAGTGATCCTTCCAACCACAAACCACATTCACCTTGAGCATATTAGAGTGTCCAGCATCCATTGCGGCTACCTTAGACGCACTAAGGTAGAAAATAATGATCTTCAAAAGCATTAACGCCAATTTTGCTTTAGTTAGAAATATATGTATACATTATTTACACATACAAAGATTGAAAAATATACATAAATTAGTACTGTAGAAATATGAATATTAGAATGATAATACCGAGCAATTTTTCAATACGCTTTAATCATTGAAATTCGCGACCGATGAAAAAGTTTTTGCAAAATTGCGGGCGAGTAGAAACGGCTGTTATGTTTTTTTCGTTGCAATCGATTTGTCTCAATCCTCATCCATCATTCCCAATAGCAAGCTGCAACTCGGTGCATCGTCACTGCCCCGCTTTCGTCGTTCCGGGAATTGCTGGTGGGTTTTAAAAGAGACAGCTCGTGACATAACACGTCTTGTAAAGGGACACATTCAGTGCCTAGCGACGAAAACGTGGAGGCCGTTCGAAGGTAGCACCTTTTCCGTCTTCGTATACGAATTCATCTTTCTTTCCGCGAATACATCAACGGACTGACCTGCTGCTCTTGTACCGGCCTTTGTTGCCCCTCTCCCTTTCCATTCGCTTGAGGGTTACTTCCAAGGAATTGTGCGAGCACGAAGAAACTGGCGCGGTCTACTATGTATGGTGGGGATGTGAGTCGTGTGGCTGTACGCGTATTTATTTAGGATCATCCTCAATAGCCACGGGGATAATTCCGGAATCTCATATAAATCCCCGCGGCAGACCTGATATGGATTAAAGACCGTGCGGAAATCATCGGTAAAACGTACGCAGAACGCGGAAGTCTTTGAGAGTTTGAGGCTTTGGATTGGAGGCTTTGAATATAATGCTTTATTCTTTCGACTCTTTTCAAAGTCCGTTATCCATAGCATGCGACAGTATATTCACAAGCGCTAGCGATATATATCAAGCGAACTGTAGTCACATGTGTTACAATTTTCATAATTAAGCGTAAGATTGAGGCTAATTGATTTCTATCAATAAATCAGCCGTATCAAGTTAAATTGCGCCGGTAACCCGATAACCGCACCGCCCTTTGCAGTTCCTGTTTGTTGTCGATCCCGTTGGCTCGGTGTCCTCTTACGGCTCTCCACTTGCCGCCCAAAAGTCCGCCAGTTAGTTGGAAACTGGTCTGAAAACCGCCACTGCTGGAAAGTTCGTGCTTGACCTGCTTGTAGTTTCTCTCGCTTTGTCCGGTACAAAGAGCGTCAACTGTCGCCAACAGAGACACTGTCCAGATCACCACCGGCGGCGGTTCATTAAAAATGTTGAAGTAGCACTTGCGGCTTGGCCCACCTGGTTTCCTGTCGTATTTTGGTCGATGCTGCGTAACGAAAAAAACAAGCACTATAGCTGTTATGTTTACCAGAGTTATATCTGTGCTGAGAAAATTAATATGGAACAATTTTTCATTTTTGCGATTCGCATATCTCGCCAAATTTTACCATGATACAAAACAATATTGACTAAACAACTGAACCGACGAGATCGTATTGCAATTACAGAGCCTCTTATATACAGCTAATTTTGGAGCCATTCGTGAGGTTGTTAAGTCGTTTTGGTTCGGAATAATCTGTCCGAGTACGAGCGCGTGCAAGCCCATAGATGCGCGATGCTTATATCTTTTACGAGGCATCGTTACGGTTTATGGCAGATCGAGCAATAAAACGAAATCACAAATAGCGATATGTCGGAACAAAATGTGCGAGGCAAATGAAGCTGGCATATCGCCTTTGCGTCTCTAGTATCGCACAAATATCCAATGTACATGAAAATTGCCATTCTCTAAATTCAACCGTGATCATATATTACATTTTGGATCAGGGCAGTTATTATATACCTAATCGGTTTCCGTCGGGAATGATTTCTTTTTCTC